TTAACATCCACAATCTTTAACTAGGTCAAAGTTTTATATCATAGAAGCACAATAGAGGTTTTGACTCTTAAGATTGTTGCTTTAGCCTGTCATGGTACAAAGAGTGACATTTAGGCACCTATATAGCTGGTTCATAGCATATTCCAAACCATTTCAAAGTTTAATGCTGAAGAATGCATCACAGCCTTTCTGAGAAAGAATGTTCATACATCAAAAGTGTAAAGCCAAAATACACAACATTTTGAAGAAGACAGCCTTCAATGCACTGAAGAGTTAAAAAAACATAAGCAAATGTTTATAACAGTAACACGCTCTGAAATCACCCACAAAACCAATCTGAAGCAATAACCACATGTACAAGTTGAAGACATTTTAGAAGAGAGATCTTCCTGACCCAACAAGCCAACTTTAAGAAGCTTGTCATATCTCCTGCTACAAGTAATAATATAATAAATTGAAGTTGAAGAAGGTTTAAAACCCATAATCACAAGTTTTCAACCATTCCTCACAATCAATAGCTTTTTTTACTGTTTTTGTGAAATGTGAATGATACAGGTTATATTCCCAAAAGGATTGTAAATTTAAAGGCTGAATTCTGCATTATGTTTTTTAAAAAATTGTCACCTTAAAAAATTATTCAACTCAATGCTTACTTAATCTTGAGTGAATGCGAGTGTATTGATGCAATAAATAACTTTTTGTTAATAAAGTTCAATGAATTTTATTTCTAATTGAATCCTTTATAGTCAGGTGGATTTGAACTTATCATTTTAGCAGTTTATTCTTCTCTTACTCTCAAAAAGAAATCACAAACCCTTTTTCTGACATACTTGTCAAGTCCCCTGATGCTATTCAAATGAAGTTTTTGTGATATTGGTCTGCTTAAATTTGGTCTTACAAGCTTAAAACCACATACAAAGTACAATTTGTGTAAACCTGTCATTATATGTGATGGAAGATTGATCTTTCCATCCATTGCAGAAGGTAGTTATAATGGAAATTCCAATGTCAAGCAGTAATCCATATAAATCACGGCCATCATGTGAGCATGATCAATGACTGAAAGAGACAGCGGTTCCAAATAGAGCACAGGACTTGGAACATGTTCTTATATAGTTTAGTTAACTTTCAATTATTAATGTTTTTTTCTGAACAAGAAGACTGATTAACTTAATATAAGAATAATGTTTGTTGCTATAA